GTCTTCCGTTGTACACGTTATTCTGGGACACCCTGTATCATTGCCAATGCAACAACTGACAAAGACCGACCTACTAATCAGTACGTATTATAAAACAGTACATACAAAGTAATAACATTTAAGACATGGCATATACTTTGTAGGTTATTCTCTCCACTTACGAAACATGTCGGTAGCTAAATAGTTAGTCGGTTGTCTCACCATGGCATACTGATGAGAACTGTTAAGTTCGAAACCGGTACTAGATTGCAACACTGGACAGATCTGTAGACCTCAGAGTAGCTGTTTCCCACAATACTATTAGTCAAAAATGTTTGCATTAAAATACCAAATATATTTTTATTTATTTTCACTCGATTAAAAAATTCCCGCCATCTAAACTGAAATTTACTTCAACAGATGTGAGTGAGAAGTACATATATTATTAGTTTTATTAAAATGCTTAGCAATAAATTAAAACACACTAGTGGTCATGGTCGTATCATTTAAAATATCCAACAAGCAAATTAGCAATTCTCCAACTTTCGCACTAACGTTTACCAGTAATCTTAATATCATCATTGTCAGAGCCAGATATGCATTTGTGTTCTATTATAACTAAACGCGCGTTATCCAAACAAATTTAGACCGGAAATAAATCAAAACTGTAACAATAGAAAAACGTGCCTTGTGTTTACCGAATGCATCGATTTATTAAAATCCTGTTTGATAAGTGAAGTCTAAAGTAAATAAAGAGAAAATCCCGTCATCTGAATTCGCGCCCCTTTGTAAATACACTTTACGAGTGAATGAGGGTGCAAGAATGGTCTGGAACAGAACAAATAAAGCTTCAAGTTAAAATTTAATTCTTATTGAGATAAGTGTTATTACACTTTTGGTTTTGGGTACAGTTCAATAGTAGCAACGTCCATAATAATGCTACACCGACATATCTCAGTGTTATACAGGAGTACCACAAGGACCAGTTCTTGGTCCCGGCCTCTTCTTAATTTATATTAAAAATTTGCCTTGTCTTATGATTGATGATGTAATTGATGATCAAAGTGAACAACTGGAGACTTTCTAGTCAACTAAATTTAAATATAAATTCTACTAAAACACAAACCGCAACATGTAGATATTCTAAAAAAATGAATATGTCTACTTTCTTCAAGCATTAGTAAATAAATCAGTAAACAGTTATTTGATATTAACTGCGCTCTTTGACAGAACTCATTAAAACGCCAACCAAAAGGGCACATAGGAAGGCACGTCCGCCTAGTCGCCCTGATTCGACATTCTCGATTAAAATATTTCCATAAATTACCGATACGATCTGGACAGAAAGAAACGTCGATATAGACACGTCCGATCGATGTCGATCACGTCGACGACTTAATTCGATGATTGCTGATAGAATGCCGGTCCGATAAAAATAAATAAGTGCATAACGGAACTGCACCGTGCTTCCGGATGCTTATGGCCTCACAGCGCCTTAGAATTTTAATTTAAACGTTGGGTTATTGGGTAACGTAAGTCGAAGTTGGCGGCGATACGAACTGGAATATTATGGCGAAGGCCATGCGAAAACATATAATTTACGAGTATTGATCCATTTGTTTTAGAGATACGAATCTTTGGAGTGAATTTAAATTATATTTATTTTGACAAAGAGTAGCGAGTGTATTAAAATTACATCAAAGACGAAGAATTCTCTACGACTGTTACAATTTAAAATATATTTTATTTTCACGTCGTACGACTAATTCTATTCAAGAAATTCCTTTGTTCCTAGCATCTGCCATTTCTCCATGTCTTTAATAGCTTTATTAAAGTGTCGCAAGTGTTTTAATCTATCTCGAATTAAGTTCGCATTTATAACGGCCTTTCGAGTGAGGCTTTCCGGCCACCACTTCGACACCATCAACTTCCAGGAACTCAATTAAATTACTTCTTTGAGGATAATTAAGGGAGATATACATAAAGTGGTTCCATTTGTATTTCTCACGCGCCAAAAAAAATTCGACGATTAATGCAGTAGCGTTACTTTTTCGGGTAATATCGGTCAGTTAAAATACCTGGCACTTGTCAATGTGACTGTAAAAAGGTCAATATTTTGCAGGATCTCCTGTAAAGAGCTAATTGTCGATGGCTGACTTGCCCCATAAAGATTTTGTTAACGTTTTGCCAAATGCACTTATAAAAAAATAGAAATTTTGCCGTTTCGTAATCAAATTATCGATATTTTGCCGTTTCGTTATCAAATTTTCGATATTAGGATGCGCCAGTAAAAAAATGACAACAATACATGTATCGATCTACACGATTAATAAGACACCTGAGTATTTAACGTAACAGTTAATTACAGAAGTGCTCCCAACAAAAGAGAAGTATCTTCCGAAATTTATAACCTATGAAACTTATGACAGATCTACGGAACAACTCGTTTGTTTACTATTTATAGTATTTCAATTTGCATCATACAGAAGCCTATTCAGCTCAATATGACCTTGGAGAGATAAAATGCAGCTGCAAGCCATTTTCCATTTTCTTCGTGAAAGCATTGTGTTCGAACCGGGTAGCATAGAAATATACGAACCATTCCGTGAAGGAAATTAGCATTCAGCTTGCAGATAGAAGGTAGCTCTTTTTCATTTTACTTTTCCACTGTGGGTTTAATTAGGCACTTTTTAGATTTTAATTGGGGGAACGTGCAAACTTTTTGTGGATATTTACGAATATTCGTAATTATTAATTAGAAATATGTAGAACGAGAGACGAGGAATGTTTTTTGCTATTTTTTAACCATTTGTACATTTCTGGAGTCCGTTATGTTAATTAAATCATGTTTTGTTACTCTTTATAATACAGCCATTGTAATGATGTTTTTTTTTTCTTCCACTTACACAAATACAAATTTAATTAACAATAATATGGCCAGATAAGCAAGTTTATTTTATGTTTTTTCCACATTTTAGTATCAAATTACTCTGGTGGAAGGATGTTTACTTTTAATTAAAGCCCGTATTTACTCGGTACCAAATTAGTCAAATAAGTGAAAATACAACCGTTGGAACTGGCTACATAGCAATTTATTTCAGAGTATAATAAGTTTTATTACATATAGGTTAGGGTGCCTCATAAAAAACGAATATTTTTTTTGTATCTCTTGTGAAAATATGTTAGTTTATCATGTTTTAAGAGCCCCTTCAAAAAATCAGCTAAAAAAGAATTTTTTTAGAGGTCGCTCAAGATTTTTAGAAATTTCCAAAATCGTCAAATTTTTTTTTTATAATAATTTTCTAGATTGAAAAAAATCTCAATTCTGGAAATTTCAAATCGATGTTTTAATTTCATAATTATTTTAACTTTCAAAGTAGTGTAACTACCTGTTTTCGAGCGATCTCTAAAAATAAATATCAACGAACTAATAATTTTTTTGTTGAATTTGATGAACAAAAGAATAGAAATAAATCACGAGATACTTAAATTTTAAAAAATTTAAAAATTATAACTATTTGATACTCACAGTGCGGTAATAAATTTTGCCTCGAGAAATTTTTTAAGTGTGTAAGTTAAAAAAAATATGTTCGTTGATATTTATTTTTAGAGGTCGCTCGAAAATATTTTAGGTACTTACACTACTTTTAAAGTTAAAATAATTATGAGTGACCTTCAATTCAAATCAAATTAAAATATCGATTTGAAATTTTCAGAATCGAGATTTTTTCAACCTAGAAAATGATAAAAAACGACAAAAAAATTAAAATAAAAAAATTCAATTTTTGACGATTTTGGAAATTTTTAAAAATCTTGAGCGACCTCTAAAATTTTTTTTTTGAGCTAATTTTTTGAGGGGGCTCTTAAAACACGATAAAAAAAATATGTTAATATTTTCACAAGACACGAAAAATATTCGTTTTTATTTGGGCCACCCTAATATAGGTGGTCCGTTTGTGTAGCAATAATGAGCATAACAATTTTTTAATGGAAAAAAAACGAAATATCTCGAAAATTTGTGAAAATGGAAATACCTTGAAATTTAAAGGGAATAATTTCAATATAAACTTTTTTTGGTATCTGGACTAATAACAGAGCCGTGATACTTCACCATATTAATGTTTAAGATATTTTACGATGCATTTTGACGAATTTTTGCAGACGTACTCAGTGAAAATCCTCCCCTCACTTCATTATTTGTTCCAGAACACCTACACCAACGCGGANATATATCACGACTTAAATTTTAAAAAATTAAAAAATTATAAATATTTGACACTCACATTGCGGTAGTAAATTTTGCCTCGAGTAATTTTTTAAGTGTCTCGTGATGTATTTCTATTCTTTTGTTCATCAAATTCAATAAAAGAAAAATATTAGTTCGTTCATATTTATTTTTAGAGGTCGCTCAAAAACATTTTACTTTTAAAGTTAAAATAATTACGAGTGACCTTTAGAAATTAAAATATCGATTTGGAATTTTCAGAATCGAGATTTTTTCAACCTAGAAAATGATAAAATAACGAGAAAAAAATTAAAATACATAAAAAAATCAATTTTTGACAATTTTGGAAATTTTTAAGAATGTTGAGCGGCCTCTAAAAAAATGTTTTTGAACTAATTTTCTGAAGAGGCTCTTAAAACATGATAAACTAACATATTTTCACAAGAGATACGAAAAAAAAATATTTGTGGTCCGTTGTGTAGCAATAATGAGAATGTTTTTCCTACAATTTTTTAAGGGAAAAAAACGAAATTTGCGAAAATGACTATGGAAATACCTTGAAATTTAAAGGGAATAAAAAGGTGCACAAAATGATATTCTTATCCTTATACAGGATGTTGCATTTAAAATTTTATTTAATTTCAATATAAACGTACACTTTTTTTGGTATCTGGACTAATAACAGAGCCGTGATACTTCACCATATTAATGTTTAAGATATTTTGCGATGCATTTTGACGAATTTTTGCAGACGTACTCGGTGAAAATCCGCCCCTCACTTCATTATTTGTTCCAGAACACCTACACCAACGCGGACAAGTTGCTGGCGGCCGCCGAGGAGTTGGCTCACACGGGCGAATGTGACCCGGACGAGATCTACTCGGTGGCGCACGAGTTGGAGGCGCACGTGACGTCGTTCGCCGCCAGGGTAGAGCAGAGGCGTCGCCGGCTCGACCTCGCCGTCCTCTTCTACACCCACGAGAAGGAGCTCGGCAACTGGGTGGACGAGCTGCGGCAGGAGCTACAGGTGGGTACTACCACTAACGGTTTTTTTTTTTCGCCTTTCCACCGCAGTCGACGTTCAAACACCTCGTATGATGGGCCCGCAGAGGCCAGAGCCGATAGATACCGCTGCAGACAACGCTAAAGGTCCTAGATTTGATCATTCGGCCTCTCTGGATTTTGTCCATCTTTAGAATCTATTCTAAACAGCACACAAATAACTGTTTGGATTTTCTTCATAGATTCTTAGTCTTAGCATTGTTTTGATCATATTTCTTGGTGAGCCACAGTCAGTTATTTCCTCAATGCAATATACTTAGTTCAACTGGAACACTATGAAGTCTTACTGCTTCATAAATCAAATAGCACCTCCATCAACCACGCCGGAGAAATATAGCCCAGGGGGCCATTAAATCCGAAATAGAGGTCCACTGTCGCGTACAGGAGAGCTTGACCCACTTAAAAGTTAAGTGCTGCCGCTCTACATGCACTTTACAATGCAACGATTCAAAGGTGTATTAAATTTTAAACGAAACGAAGTAATGCACCACGCTGACTCGCCCGCTCGGTAGGACACCCAATTTTCATTTCCCGTGATAAACATCGGTTTATGGACTTTTATATTGTTTGGTGTACTGGGACAGGCCTTACTTATAGGTGTTGATGTTATTATTAGCCTTTGTATGTTTATTTCAACGGGAGAAAGTTCAATCGGTTGCAAGGGTTCGGCAACACTTCAATTTTTGACACGTTATTATTGAAACAATGAAATGAAGTAAATGGAACAGCGGTTGGTCCAAAAATCGTTAATAATATTGTGAGGGTCTTAAATGAGGACAAACGACTCGAGTGAAAACATTATTCGTTCTGACATACATTTAAATTTGAATTTCTTGAGTTATTAAAGATTCAAACCAGTCATGATGTGGTACAGAGTTTTGTTAAGTGTGTAAACAACCAATGGACGTTTTTAGGGAGATGAAAGTGTTGCGGAAGGCTTAGAGGCAACAGAGAGGCTTCTGGAACAGACGGCACAACACAGAGACCAAAGCTTGGATGCCTGCGCTTCAACCATTGCCCAGGGAGAAGCGCTGTTACAGGAATTAAGGTAATTCTTTTTTTAGAAATTATTATTTTTCTTTTACTTTGTTATTTCTATCGCATAATAAATAATTTATGAATTATATACAAATTATGACGATGTCATTGGCGACGACATTGTAGACGAATCATATCGCAAAACTAGGAATGAGCTGCAGGCCTACATCGTCCCGCAAAAACCTGCCGACTCACCACCCCTTCGTTTTTCCGTTGATTAATTTACGTGGGCCGTGATTTTGGACGTGAATCAGGAAGAAATTTTCATAATCCCGCACAGCTGCCTCGATATGTTTAATAGTGCTTATTGTGTCGATATCGGACAACCGAACAAGATGAATGGAAGCGCCGCCACGCAACTACACAGGAATGCTTTTAGAGTTTCATTTTTGCCGTGTTGTAACGTGAAAAATGGTGATTTAATATCAACACGCGTACAACGATGTCAGCGGTTAGGGCTTTTAATAAGCGGATAATTAATTTTCAGGTGAAATAATGGCACGGTTCTGATTTGGAACTTTCGTTGTTGGAATGTTCATCATTCCGGCACGGAATGATGATATAAAAACAGATAAGGGTGGGAATGACAAATAAATATATACAGGGGATTCAGAACTTTAAAAAAAATTTTTTTTCAATGTACAGAATTACAATTTTGTAAAGAATATCGAAAAGGGCAGTTCGAAAATGATTTAATGTGAGAGAAATAAGTGACCATATTTATAAGTGAGGTGCATATGTAGAAAGAAGAAGGGTTACATTAAATTTATGCTCATTCGACTACATTTTGAAAAAGCATGACACAGATCGACATAATTGAATTGAATTCGAATACAGTTGCTCAGAATTACTCCTTTGCGTCAGATTTTCGAGATATCCTAATCTAAGTGCGAAAAAACACGGTTTATTTGAGGTAATTTTCTTCCATTGAGATGGAAGAGATATTTGAACGATTGATGCGAATTTGAAAATGCAAATAGTGCTGGGGAATTATTGTGATCGGTACCGCAAAGTTCCCTCTGCAATTTATCTCCGACAGACGAAAGTGCATTTTTTCCTTCCACCTCCCCCCGGTTCGTGTGTGTCGCGAGGTGCCTGCTTGTTTGCATCTTACGAAATAAATACTTTCTATATGCACAAGTCATATTTTAAAAAGTTGCTTTGTTGACCTAGATCCAGCCACCGACCGATTTATATTTGTTTTGTTTCTTCCCATTACACTTTCTCGGTTCGTAGTTAATTTAAAGAAACATTCGCTAGTCTAAATTTGCCAAAACCTCGCAGGTGCTTAGTCATCTTTCTCGTAAAAAAAAACTAAATAATTGTTTGAACTGGTATTTTACCCAGTCATTATGCAAATCGTCGACTCACTCGTAACAAAAATAGTAGTCTTATAGCAGTCAATTAGTGACCAATCCACTTAACAGCCATATTTACGATTGCTGTTTGATTTATAACAATCAATTCGTTTCTGTAAGGTGATTACGCTTGAAATAATTAATTAGTTACATTTAGATGTGAAAGAGATAATTGTAGTTCCTCGCAATAATTAATTAGTTAAATTGAATGACAGGTTCGTGATTTGAACAAGTGGAACTTAATTATTTTTATATATTTTTTTCATAGTCTACGAATACATACATCTAAGTAAAAGATAGATTGATAAAAATAATTTAAAGTTGATCGGAACATAAAAAAAAAACATATTGCGATAACTCAAAATTTAGGAAAGCGAAAACCGTTTATCTGAACTTTCGATGCCAGAAACTTCTCCAAATTTCAAACACTTCCATATAAAAACTATTAAATTGGTATATCAGATTATTTAGAGAAAACAAAATTTAGTAACAGCAAAGTAATAAAACCACAAAGTCCATAAAAATTTGGAAAAATATTTGCCAAAAGTTGTGTAAAAGTATTTGTAATTAAAGTATTTATTTGTATAAGAAAAATAGACTTAGAAATGTTTGTAACTGAACAAAAGAAAGTTTAAGAATGGCAGAAAATCGAACTAATAGCAGATTTAAATAAGGTTCAGTATAGTTCTGGAATTTTCTATAGAAAGTTTTCATTCCTAATCCGATTCTAGGAAAATTTGCAACGTTCATTTGTTTTAGCAAAGTTTACATGAGAAATGTCACATTATTTGTCAGAGTCAATACGTAAAAAGCCACGTAAGCAGGAAGCTTAAGTCTGTAATAGATAAAAACAATTGAAACAGACTCAATGTTAATATTAAAAAAGTTAAAAGTGAAAATCTAAAATAAAATAACTATATCCATGTGAGGTCAACAATGTGAGGAAAATAAATGCAAGCTATTGTCAAATGTCAAACATAAAAAGATAATTCATGCAACTAGTAATACAAGATCAAAATTAGGTGATAGAATAAATTCTGGAGAAAAGCAAACAAAAGAAAAATAAGACACCAAATGATCCAAAAAAACTATCAAGAAAGAAAATGCAGCGGGATTAGGCCGATTTTAAATGGAAAAATATGATTCACTAAAAAAAATCTACAGTCAATTTAAACAATGTCTTTCACATACTTTTAAAATTTACCAGTTTTCTTTTCCGGATTGATCGAATCGCTTAACAACGTTTTTATAATTTTTTCAAAAGGTTCACCTATTAACAGGTATTTTGTTGTTTCTAGATTGTCGTTTGTTTTGTGAAAATATTTATTTCTCTTTCCATTGTTTCCCATTCACTGCCTTTATCTTTTACCGAGCTATTAACTTGAAGAACCCCGACTTTCTGCAAATTTTAAAATCACAATCAACATATTCTATTCAAGAAGACGACTCTAAATTTATTCAAATCGCAATTAAACTGATTTGTGTATTTGCGCTCCCATTCTGACCCATCTCGAAATAAGACGATTTCATTACTCCTTAAGTCGTCTGGAGCCTCAAAAACAGAGCGCAAACATTTGCATTTATTTAAATCGCAGCCGCCCATTCTTAATGAGCGCTTCACAGTCAGACTATTTTTCTTCCTACCCGTAAGGACGCTGGTTGAATTTTTAATATAATTCACCTCTCGGAGAAATTTCCACATTAGCATTCTCATACATATTACAATCGCCTCGTGAATCTGCCCGTGATAAATACGCTTAATTTCTCCAAGAAAAAAAAAAAGCGAGCTATGCCCAGTATGATGTACGTAATCCTCTGACAGGGAGTAATGTTGCTTCATGTCGTATTAATTTCGTTCCTTGGAGAGATAAATTTAGATTATATTCCTTACAATCGTATCCAATAATCAATAAAATAATGCAGCATTATTATTTATAACTTTTACTGAGGCTTTCCTTTGTTTTGCGCAGATAAATGAACATTATCGGAGCTGTAACGAAAACTTGTAGTCTTCGTCGACTGAGAACGATTTCAACTCAACTAGCTAGTAATATGTAAGCTGTGATACTATGTGCAATTGTAATTCATGCAAGAATGGTCTTCTACATCGCTAATGAAAATGCTCAATGAATAATGATTGTGAGAACGTCTTTGTAACTAACACATTTTAATCACAGGCTCGTACGAGTATTTCCACAGGTATATTTTCCAGTAGCTTTAACACTGAAAAAAAAAGTATTTGGATCAAATGAGCAGATAGTTTTATTCTATTCAAATGTATATATTTTCGTCAAACTATGTGAAATATTTTATGTAATCAATCACTTTTCTTAGAATTTATATTATTTGTAAATATATATAATTTAATTCAAATCATTTATATTTTTAAAATTTAGTATTAATGTGGGAATTATTCAAGACAAATATTATAATCAAACTTAAGTTTTCTTGAAAGAAAATTGTAGCAGGTCACGTAGGGTAGGTGGGAAGTAGCACGATAGATGGAGCCACTTACGCTCTGTCTATACACAATTCCTTGTGAGTAACGACACTAAAGCAGCTGGATCGTTCTAACGACATGATGATGAAGACCATCAATAAGTCCCGAACCGATGTATGTCTGGTTGGTTAAACTTACGAACGATCCTCCTAGCTGTTGTACTAGGTGTTGGGAGTTTGAAACAAAATATTTTTTATTACTGAGAAATATTTATATTCAAATATATTTTTAAAATAAATATATAGTAGAGGCAAATCTGCCTGTACTTTTAAAGCAAATTAGAACAGTTGATCTGAATACTCATTTTTAATATTAAAACGGATAACTATCAGTGAGACAGTTATTCGTGAGCTGTAAACTGCCAACCGTATCAACAAAGATCGACGACGGAATTTGATTTGTGTAACAGGGAACGCATGCATCTGATAACCGCAATTAATTAGTTTGTACTTTTTGTTGCCCAACGGTTTATTAATTAGCTAGAGTTCGGTTTTCCGACGATGTTGTTTTGTTCCCTCATCGACGTCGACATCCCCCCATTATCGTCCCAAAAGTTTGGCCCGCTCTGATGGGTCGGGTCGAAGTCTATTATTCACCATTACACAAACTATAGACGTTTGAGATATGATGCAAGAGTAAACGATTTTATCACAACAAACTATGTCGGTGTACCGTATCAATTAGGACTTAATTAAACTGACGATTCAGTGAGACCTCGTGTCAAACACATCAAACATTTTATAAAAATTTGCCTTTATTTTGTCGACTTTTATTTCTTCTGTATCTTTTTTAGTCATCGCTATCCTAGATTTGACCTCAGACACTTGTTCTAGTTTTGCCTGTTCCTTTTGTCGATAGAAAAGGTCGACCGTACCACCCCAACACCAGACAAAAAATGCAACCCACTGCTCGTTGCCAGGAGTGGTTCAGTCTTATTTTTTAACCGAGAACCTGTTGGTGAGGTGACTCACTGGTTTTATTTGCTTTTATTGCACATTCCCGGTGGCGCGGTTTCACTTCAGAACGGAAATTACTATCATCGCTTAGAAGAATGCTTCGCGGGGCCCAGTCGTTACCAGAAATTTGGATAATTATGTATAATTCAGATTTAATTGGCGTTTAAGTAAATGTACTTAAATAATTATTAGTTCTGGCGTTTTATTTTATGTTCAGTGCACAGTAGCGATGAATAACATAAATGTATGAAGAATTCTGTGCAACGTAATAAACCAGGAGTTGAAGTTGAACATTTTTTATGACATTTTACATTTGACACAGCAAAATCTTCATATTTCCAAGAGGATATCCAATTAGTCTAAATCAAACTTCCTCAAACGACACGAATTTAAGAAACACTATATTCCGAATAACAAAAACACTGTAAACAGTCCGTATAAGATTCAGCTGTAAAAATTTCAATTTCCTCGAGGCATATTTCCTTAAGAGGCTATTGTTTTCCCTAGAGCCCCTCAACCGTCGCATCAGAGCAGGATAATGCCGAATATGACCATTTAACGTTATGACAACGGCCGTATCTGTCTCTGTAATACCCGTTAGCAGAACACAAACCCAGACTTACCTTATGAATAATTTCCGTAATGGGGTCCCTCAGACACAATGCAGCGTCATCTGTTTTTCTTATTGTGTTCGGTCTTTAATCAGCTTAAATTATACTACGAAGGTATGTATGGGCATGGTGTTGCTATTGTTGCGGCGGTTATTGTCGCGAAATTTGCGAGCTGAATGTGAGCGTAAATATGCGGAGGAAGTCTGGATTGTAAAAGGAGTATGGTGCGATTATAGAAGCATAGGATGCGGCTGTAAATATTTCCAAATTTTAAAAAAACAACCATAGACAAATTAGTCAAACTTAGAGAGCGAATGTTAGTAGTGGTGAATCTAGAGGTTTTTAGTGTCGCCATCTAGGTATCGCATCTCTAAGTTTGACACGAAAGAAAGTGGTACGAAACTTACCAAAAGTATGTATTATTAAAGTCTATGCAAAAGAACGAGACCAATCATTCCATTGTGTACACATCCCATTTAATTTAACTGTTCAATTTCATTATTGCGACATGACCAGATTCAATTTCTCTAACTAAACAAACTGTATGTGTAATCTTCTCTCGGTAATAACATTCTTGAATTATATCAAACAGAGGCAGTTTACCTCGCAAGCTTGTTCTGGCCTTACAAGGAAAATTACTTCAAATTTAATCTTGTTCAACGTTGATCCCTTTTAAATATACCATCTCAGGTGGCTGCGACTAAATGAAATTTCCAACGAGATGGTATTAGTGGCGCTAAAGTTAAACCGTGCAGATTTTTTAACTCTGTGACATCGTAATGTTTACGAGGTGATTTCGCTTCGTAGAAGAGGATCAAATAATGAACCAGAGATATGGAAAATCTATAATTTTAATCTCCTTGGAAAAAACAACTAAGTAAACACAAAATTCTACGAATGAGAATGACAGAAAATTCAAATATTTTTGCATACAAAGTTTTAAAAATTCACCACACTTTTCAAGGATCTTTGGGAGATGCCATAAAATTGTTTGATAAAAAAATGAAATAAACAACATAACACATCTACAGAAAGCTATAACTGAATATAGAATTATTGTTGCATAAAATATTTTAAAAATTCGCTTCCCTTTCCAAATGTCTATTTTCATTTCCTGTTATACAAAAAATAAGAAACAAGTTGCAATAAAATCTACATAATGGCAATTTCATAGAATACTTTTGACATCTAAATAATAAAATACTTTTTAAAAATTGACTATACTTTCCAAATATTTTCCGAAAGTGCGATAATAGTCCTTAATAGCCAAAAGTTAGTGCCTACAAATTAAGTGTTTTTAAAAATTCACTGGTCTTTGAAAATATGTTTCGAAAATGTCATATAATTCGCAACCTTAGTACAAAAAATAATATCTAAAAAATCACTGCACTTTCCAAACATTCATAAATCTTAACGTGATAACTTGGTGCCTACAAATTATTTACATAAAAAAAAACGAGTTATAACAAATTTTAAAAAATAACTGCACTTTCCAAATATTTTTCTAAAGTGTCGTAAAATCTCTTAACGAGCAAAGTTAGTCCCAAATTATCTGTTAAAAGAAAAAACTTCGCAACTGTTAAAATTGTATGAATAACCCACGCAAAAGATAACTATCACCATTGTAAGTCTGTATGGGATTAGATAACTCATTCCAGAACTGAATGGTGGTTAGGGTTTTGCCAGCATAACTCATTCTCGAGACAGCTAACAGAATACTAATACACCGCGCCCTTTCTTCGTATATGTTAGGTTAACTCTGTGGTTAGATTCGTAAACATCATTTCCGGCGAACATTTTTTTCCTACACTCTGATTTATATTCGAAATCTCCATAATTACATACAATATTTATATTTATGCAAAATCTGCTTCTGCGGCTCCCATAACAAGAAAATGGTGAGATAATTATTGTTTTCCATTGCGAACCCCTCTATCTGTTCGTAATCTTTCGTTCCATTTCCAGGATAGAAACCCGCTCATCAAGAACCACCTACCGACTCTGTTTTGTAATTTTTATCGCATATTTATATTATTATGTGCATTCCTTGGACACAGCCATGTACGCAGATCTAGTTATTAATCACTGTCAGTGTTTTCATAAGGTTATTATAATGCTATCTCGGAAACTTATCCTTCTGTGTATGTTCCGCGTGAAGATATGTCGTTTTTATGACGAGAATTAATAATCGCTTCGTTGATGTATGTCGTTAAAGTCGTCGGACTAGCAATAACAACGGGTTGAATGATATCTGTCTCTTCAGCTTTTTAAAAATGCGAATTCTGATGGAATTTTAAGAGCGTTAATTGTCTTTTATCCGTTTAATTGATGTAACATGAGAATCGTTACAGTACTGTACGAGACTCGAGATAGCAACAAATTTACAAGATGTCCGGCTTTCGAGAACTTGGTAGTTATTTGGTAGCTGATAATGTTTTAATAGTGGTTTGAGAAAAGAACGCGTTGGGTTCTAATAATTTTTTCACAATATGCATATAGATTTTAATTCTGTTAGCCATTAATGTAAATTTATTCTTTGTTGGTGTTTCCAAAGAAACAGGTTATTATATTTAAGTAATTTGTCATTCAAAACAAAGAATCTACATTGTAAACCGTTTTGGGATGATTGGATTGACTCACGGTTTAAGTAGTCAAAAGGAAAGTGACCTGATGCGTCAATATTTGATGTGGTTCTTCAAATATAATCCGTAACGCGAACTATCCGTCATTTTTAGTGCTGTCATTCCACGAACTCATAATTCTTTATCTTTCGCTTTACATCAAAACGTTTCTATAATTCCATATCCATTTTAACTATATTTTTATTTTAAGTTTTATCTTAAAATCGTGCTGGTGATACTAACAAACGGTCACAGACGACATTTCGTTTTAGTTTCCACTGGAGCGATAGGGATCTCTTGCGTACCGCTATTTCCACTGGCTTTTTCAACTTTTTCTGTACGTACTGCATCTACCGATTATATCTAAATTAGATTCCGGGCAACGGCCCCACAGGACCCGAGAAAATTACAGTTCACTGTCAATGGTGCATTTTTTAATTAAAAGGAAATTGAAATTTTTGAGTCAAATCCACTAAACGCGTTTTCTTTTTACTTACGTAAAGTAGACGTTCTTTCCGCGTTTTCCGGAATCAGGAAAACTTTTTTATATGGAAATCCGGGATCAACGCACTGCATCAAATAATGTCCCCATTCAAAAAACGAGCGTAAGGGTTTTGTTTAAAAAAATGTCTCGCGTCAGGAAGTACCATAAATCCTGTAGAAGTGACACCGCTGAAATATACATTATTTATGAAGGCCGCGAGTGGTTCTAAAACAGTGGCGGAACGTGTGATAAGCTAAGGGTGTACCTTCAACAAATTTTTCTTAGTTTCTAATTTTTACTAAACTTCAGCACACAGAATTAAGTTTAATTTAATTACATAATTAAGAACTTTCTTTTACCTAAAACAAATGTCTGGTATTTTCGGTAAAATAATGTTTCCAGTTGCAATAATAGAGTACATCGAAGTTGTACCGCATTTCGCATCGTCGCGCATGAAACAGAAACAATCTAACAGGAAGGAAACATTTCAGACGACATATAATTTGTGACATAGAGTAGACACAATGTTGTTTTATACCTTCTTTCGCCGAGCTCGGATATGCCATTTAATCGCCTCATCCAGAGAGATTATAGCGCTAAGGGGTTTTTGTTTTATGGGACCGCCGTTACGTTTACGGGGTTCTGATTGTATATTGAGCGATTGCATAGTAGTATAGGCGTTTCGCCGCTCCGTTTTCGTCTTGTTCGGTACCTGTGACATAGTTTTATGGACCAATAAAGAATTAAACTGTCACAATCTTGTATTATTAAAACTATGTAATATGTAATAATATTCCATAAAACATTGGCATCGAGAAGAAATATCTCACCGTAATCTTAAGCTAAGCTACTGTTCTTAAGAACAATTTCAAATAATTATAAAATCACACTCAGCCCCTTTTTTCCTTTTCATTTAATTAATGTTGCCACGTCATTCGTCAACGCATAAGTGAGCCTGTCGAATTAAAGAATCATTAACGTTGAAAAAATCATTAGTTGTTCAGTCTGATGAAACGTAAAAGCTGCATCAAACCATAATTGTATAAATAAATATTTAATGGTATTATTAAAATTACTAACAAATTCTTTGTGCAGGTCTATTGGTGAAATGGACTCAACTGGCTCCGTCTCAGCAGTAGAATCAGCTCTCGACCGCCTGGCCAAACAAAGAAACGACCTGGAGGAGCTCTGGGCCGCAAGGAAACTCCGTCTCGACCTGTGCCTAAGGTTGCGCCTCTTCGAAAGGGACGCCCTCGAAGTCTCCTCTCAACTGGAAATGTGGTCAGAGGAACTGCAACACAGCGAACTGACCAGAGACATCGCCAAAGCCGAACAATTCTTACGCCTCCACAATGAGAGCGTCAGCCAGATGCAGAACACCACGTACCAGGTCCTGCAACAAGGGCAGGAACTAGTGCAAGTGTTTGAGAATTCCGGCATCTGCGTCATGGCCGACGCCCAATACAACGCCCAGACTAGAGTTCAGGTGCTTTTAGAATTCCTTCACGACAGGGAGATGGACCTGGAGGACCTGGCCGAAGTGAAGAGAGTGAAATTGGAACAGTGCATACAGTTGGGGCAGTTCCAGAATGACGCCAATCAAGTCATAAGTTGGATTAGGAATGGGGAGTCGATGCTGATGGCCAGTTTTACCATACCCAATAGCTTGGCGGACGCCGAGCTGCTGAAGAAGGAGCACGAGCAGTTCCAAGTTGCCATAGAGAAGACGCATACCTCTGCGGTACAAGTAAGTGCAAAAAACTTTTTAAATACGTTAATCTACGGCCAGCACTATAAATGAAATAGTATGAACAGATTGAAAAGACATTATTTTCCAGGTCAAACATCGAGCTGACGCCCTTATCAACGGCAACCACTACGACCCTCAGAGCATCAGGGACATCTCCGAAGAGGTCACCAAGAGATGGCAACAACTCGTAACTTGCGCGGAAGAAAGACATAAACTCGTAACGGCCAGCTTGAACTTCTACAAGACAGCGGAACAAGTTTGTTCTGTCTTAGACAGCCTAGAAAGAGAATATAGAAGAGATGAGGACTGGTGTTCTACCGGACAGCAGAACGTCGATAAGGCAACCGCGATCTCCCAGTTGATAAATAAACACCAGGAACAGAAGGAGGCCTTCTTGAAGGCCTGTACTCTTGCCAGGAGGACTGCCGAGACCTTCTTGAAGTACACCACCAGGAGTTTGCAGTTCTACAATTATCCCAACACGAGCAGTAACCACGAGACGAGGGTGAAAGGGATTTTGGAGAAACTGTTGAGCCAGGAGAACAAGGTCTTGGAACACTGGACTCAGAGGAAGAAGAGGTTGGACCAGTGCCAGCAGTTTGTTTTGTTTGAAAGATCCGCAAAGCAGGCTATAGAGTGGATTCATGAAACAGGTAGGTCCTTGAGCTCTGATATATCCTAAGGTGATGTATATTTGCCAATAAGCTGTTTTTAACTCAACCGTTACTTATGATAAGGTTTCCAACTCAGTTGAGACCCTAGATGATAGATATGTAATTATAGCCGGAGAGCAACGACTAAATGATGCTAACCCACATCCTACAGTGTACTTGAATGTTTTGTTTGTCTTAAATCATTAAAGCTCAAGTTTTGCGTTTCGTCACATATTTTTATATATCTGTACTAATATTTCGCCACTTCTTCCAGGCGAATGTTATCTCACCACCCACGCAACGAACCTCGGCAACAACATAGAAGAGACGGAAAGCCTGCTTCGAGAACACAACGAATTCAAAGCCACTGCCAAGGAAACCAGGGAACGAGTCAAGCTACTCATCCAACTGGCCGACAGTTTGGTCGAGAAGGGTCACGCCCACGCCTGTTCCATCAAGCAGTGGGTGGCGGCGGTGGACAACAGATACAAGGATTTCAGTTCCCGTATGGAACAATACAGGCAACAGCTGGAGGAGACGCTCGGTATACAGGAAGAGGAGAGCGAGAAGAAGGAGTTGTCCATCGATAGGAATTCGGACCCCAGTTTGGAGGCGAAGGTGAAAGAAGCTGCCGCCAAGGAGCTCAAGGAGTTGAACGAAGAAAAGAGGAGGTCTGCTAGAAGAAAAGAGTAAGCCAAATAAAAAAATATAAATATAGTATTTTTTAATTGCAAATTTGTAAAATTCAGTTGAATTTTGTTAAAACTGCCCAAATTATTAATATCATTATTCTGGGAAACAACTACTCTGCGGACTATAGCCCTGTTTTACCGAAATTTAATTGCCAACGTAAAATTACGGTTCTAAACAAAATTACAGGTCACGTGGCTTTGTAATCATTCATGAAGGCCCTGTACGACTAACACAAAACACTTTCTTTTCAGATTTATAATGGCTGAACTGCTCCAGACCGAAAGGACCTACGTCAAGGACCTAGAGACCTGCATAAACTCCTTCCTACAGGAGATGAGGACGTCCACCTGCCCGACAGCCCTGCAAGGCAAAGAGGACGTCATCTTCGGCAACATGGAGGAGATCTACAACTTCCACAACTCCATCTTCCTGAAGGAGCTGGAGAAGTACGAGACGATGCCCGAAGACGTGGGCCATTGCTTCGTGACGTGGGCTCAGAAGTTCGACATGTACGTGCACTACTGCAAGAACAAGCCCGAGTCGAACAGCCTCCTGGTGCAGCACGGCGGGAATTATTACGAGGAACTGCAGAAGAAGCACAAGGTGGAGCACCCCATCGCCGCCTATCTGATAAAGCCCGTGCAGAGGATCACCAAGTACCAGCTGCTGTTGAAGGACCTGCAGAGCTGCTGTCAGGAGGGTCAGGGCGAAATTAAGGTCTGTATTTTTTTGCGTAAACGATTTAATAATTATTATTATTTTTATTGTTATTTTAGGATGGACTGGAGGTGATGCTGAACGTTCCGAAAAAGGCGAACGACGCCATGCACTTGTCTCTACTCGAGGGTTGTGACGTATCTTCGGATAAATTGGGTGAGGTCGTCTTGCAAGACGCTTTCAGTGTTTGGGATCCCAAACAACTCATTAGAAAGGGCAGGGATAGGCATATTTTTCTCTTCGAGATGTACCTTTTGTTTACCAAAGAAGTGAAAGATTCCGCCGGCAAAGTCAAGTACATCTACAAGAATAAGTTGATGGTAAGTGACATCTTGAAAAAGTTAATAAAAATGGAGAGTTTTCATGACTCCTAAATGTTAAATTTTTATGTTTTTTTTAAATTTTATGTTCTCACTTTATTCTTGTTATCGTCGGTCTATGTTTCCAAACTGCGTTTTCAAATTTTGATTTATCTTTTACAAAATATAATATACTGCCTTGAAATTCGGTAGATGTAAGTTTATGGGAGTGTTAAAAACATCAGTGATGTCAGATTTCAATCACAATGTAATACAAGAAGGTAGTTTTCATTGTGGTAAAATTGAAACATCACTGACATTTGAAAGACAAGTGGCTCCCCCAATGTCTCTGGCCAAGGCAAACATTCAATTGTTTGTCGGTAATGTAGTTTACTCCCAAATAACTAACGTGGTCGGTAAAACAGGTACCGCTTATTTAAAGTGGGAGATCTAAATGTATCATATTGTTTAAGATGTATAGAAAAGATTTTAAGGTATTGTTTTGCCAGAAAATGAGTTTTATTAAAAATTTAATCCAACAATTTTTTCACATAACAGTTTTGTGTTTCACGAATTTTTCTAAAAGCAATTGCATATTTTCAGTAAATTCAGCCGGAGTACTTTTTTGAGAAACATGAAATTTTACATTATATGTGGATACTTAACCTCAAAAAATGTTATCCATTAAACTTAAAGTTTCGTAGAAGAGGATCCTAGCTAGTGACATGTACGAGGTAGTAGAAAACTAACAAAACTTTGTAACATTCTCAAAAACTTCACCAAATTTCATTGGAGTACATTGAATTTTATAGAAAATGTGACAGTTTGATTTAAAAAAAAATTAAAATCAAAATAGCATCAATTTCCAACATCCTTGCTTCTGACATGTTTTAAATTTTTCCAGACCTCGGAATTGGGGGTAACAGAACACATGGAGGGGGACGAGTGCAAGTTCGCGGTGTGGACTGGTAGGGCCCCCATCTCCGACTACCGGATCGTGCTGAGGGCCTCGTCCCTCGACACCAAACAACTGTGGGTGAAGAAACTCAGGGAAGTCATTCAGGAAACTTACTTCAGTGGGGCCCTGCCCCTGTCTCTACCCAAGAGCCCCGCCAAGCTCAAACCCCAAAGCCAGAGATCCAGCAGGTAGGAATAATAGCTTGAAGCTAATTGTTTTGTTTATGAACAAACTTCAAAGTGTTTTGTGTCGTGGTTTTAACAACGATTTAAAATGTGGGAACTAACGGAGAATTTGTCGTTTCAGGGATATGGAGGAATGCAACTCGTTAGACGAAAGTGTAGAAAATTTGGATCGTAACTCGCTTGCCTCGTTTGGTTCAGGCAACACCACTGATTCTGATAAGGTAAGTGTGCACGATTCCCTTTCTTCTTGAAAATAAAGTCATTGTAACGAAATATAAATGTTTGACCTCACAGAAATATTATTGTGAGTCAGTAACTTATCCATAAAAAAAAATATGGGATTTATAGTAGTGGATTAGTGGAAATATTGTAGGTAAAAGTTCAAAAAAGGAAAAAAATTAATAAAAAAATAAAAGGAATTTTGTCACAGTTATTGCTACAATTATTGCCTTTAATTGTTATTGCCTCCTGGTGTTAAATGTGAATTAGTATTTTAATCAAGGAAAAATTCGAAGTACTGAAAAGCATTCATGCGATATGTCGATACGAATTTGATCTTGCTTGATCAAAAAACCATTTTTGCATTGCTATACACACATTTGAAGAGACTGATGTAAACAACAAACCACAGTAATAAGAGCACTACACAAACCACAGTAATACTAAATAAAAAACTTGTAGAAAAACTTAAGATACACGTTAATAGTCACACTAACTTTAAATGTAACAACTTCTAACATTTTTTTCTCGAAATCTAAATATTTTGTTAATTTTTTGGTGATACCAATTCAATTTTTCATGGCTCGTTTAACAGTGATTTCGCGCAAGAATTTGTTTGGTAATTTATGGAGTCGATACTATTTTTTAATTAATACCATTTTTTCTGTAGGAATCTTACTTGGCACGAAATGATTCAATACAAAAATTGTTTTGTTAGAACTGACTACAAACCAGTTCCACACATGTTTCTAAACAGTTCTTGTGTTACAGGAACAATGAAATAAAGAATAAATAAGTTCTGCGCTGCAACTGAAGTAAAATTTGCGAGATTCCAAAAAAAAAAAAATATTTCAAAGTTGTAAATATTGTACTTGATGTAAATTTTTAGTAATTTGTTGTTATGTGATAATAATAAATCGGGTTTTTTCAACAAATTGAAAGGAAAAGTAAACAATAGCAATAATTTGTAGTTACAATTATTTATTTATTCACATCTGTTAAAATTAATGAAATCGGTGCCTTCTCCACCAAACTAATTCATGGATAAAACGATAATTTCATTAACAATCTACGGTATACTTGTTCCAATACTGTGGTTTCATTCTGAAAACGCGAAAATGAATAATTTCATCGCAATTGGCACCCTTTCCTCATTTTTTGCCGATCCTCGCATTTGCGTGCAATTCACAGCCGACCCTGCGGCTCTCGGGCCTCGAGTAAGGCACCAGGAAGAGGCCGAAGACGTGCACAGAGCCCTAATGAAGGGGGAACGTCTTGGCGCAAATACCGCAAACCCGAATCCAGGGTGCCCTGTTCCGATCCGGGCCTTGGGCAGGTCGTGACCCGCTGACATTCAGCCGCGATTGGACTGGAACAGGGCGGAGATCGGAGATCAGGAGGTGTATACCGATACGACTTTTTTCAGCATGAACAATCAGTTATATTCTCGAAAAAGCCTAAAGAGCACCCGTAACAGCGGTAATAAAATGCACCGGGGACATAAAAACGAACACGGATTTTTCGAAGGTGCAGCGAAACGCAAAAAATTAATTTCAAGCTATTCAAGTTCAGACGAGTCGTTTTATAAAATTCCTAAGCGTTTTATAAAAGGCGAACAAATTGTCAAAACTTGCGACAATTTATATCTGGCTCATCATTTTATAAAACGTCTAAACGTTTTATAAAATGTCTAAGATTTTATAAAACGTTTCAGCGTTTTATGAAACGTTTTGGCGTTTTATAAAACATTTTGGCGTTTTATAAAACATTTTTTCGTTTTATAAAACTTTTTGGCGTTTTACAAAACATCTAGGTGTTTTATAAAACACTGGGTTTATCGAACTGCAACACATTCATTTTTTAATATAAAAAATTTAAAACCAGTGAAGCAGCGCTTATGTATGCATTTTTTATCCCCTAAGGACACTTACAATGAACAACATTGTACAAATTATATGCTAATAGTGTTCGTCTACAACGCAGAAGACTTGTATCCGGATTTAACTGGATTCCGAACGCGGCGTGTCTTTTTTAATATTAAAAAACCGGCGAAATTTCGCATGTGTTGCCGCGATAAATGTTTACATTCCGTCCCACGGCACTATTTTAATAATGAAGCCTAGTTTGAGTAATAACTTTTTCCAGTGGCCATTTTCCATAGGCGTAATAAGTACAATTTGAAAAAAGGGAAATTAAACTTATACAAATTAAACAGTACTATGTACTACGTACACAATGATCATTAACATTGTTCGAAACACATCTCTGAAAATCAACTGTCAAAGAACATTTAAAATTAAAGAAGATAAATTAGAGACAGATTAGTAGACTTTTCACAACTGGGCGTTAGTACTTGATGTTTTTTTATGAAGGTACAGAATTAATTGAATCTCGACACTAGGTGTTGCGAGTATAATTCAATGTCGGTAGGGACATATAGCCCTCGGAGTAGTTGTTTCTCGCAACACTGACAATTAAAAAAAATAATAGAAGGTGCCTATAGTGAATTAAAATTACCTGAATCACACCAAATTCCGCATTGCTGCACTGCACTGCTGGGCGATTTGTCGACCACTTGTCAACGGCTGAGATTTATTGCCCAGTAGCCCAATGCAACTGTATTTGTATTTCGTTTGTCCGCGCTCGCATTCTTCAACTGGGCGTATACATTTCTACCTCCTCCACGTTTAGATTGACCAGACCTGTATATGGGTACGGCCAAAGAACAAGTTTTTTAAATATTTCAGTGCCGAGTTGCTGCGTCAGCGACCGAACCTGGTACATACTGTCATCCTCTTGGTTCTTCAATTGATATCGGAAAGACTATAACCGTGTACTCGTACCCTCTCGGTCTCCGCCCATGCCGCTATTAATATATTTTCATTACGCTCGGCAATTACTTTATTACCTTCCTCTGCGTCCGACCTGGTCAAATAGGGGTCGCGTGCCGCCCACTTTCGGATTCAGGGTAAACGCGAGCCACGTCGGCTTCTCCCGACACGCCGCCCGCCGCGGTTGAGTTGTCGGGTATTTATACTTCCTGGAAAGTGGCTAGAGGCGGTCGGAATATATTTACGGATATTTAGATGATAACGATTTAAAAGCAGACGGAAAGGTTGACGAGGGCTACCGGGAATTTTTGCTTTTTTACACGAGAGTGAGGTAATAGTTATAGGCGAACGCGTGCGGAGAAATCGATAATAAGCGTCGGTAACGCGAATTTCTTACCAAAAATGTAATTATTAAGAATGGCAAATAATAAAAATTAAACACTTTGATTAGCGACCTTGGAAATCACCGATATGAGCAGCACCAGCGCCAACTAATCGATTATATCGATGTAGAGAGGATAGCGTTTTTAAATTTATTCGAAAGAAATGCAGAAATATACGCTAGACCTCCACACGGTCATCCATGATCTAAGCACCCTTCGATTTCCCGTCTTAATAAGTAACTTTGTCGGTGCTGGCACAATGAAGGCGCTTTTATTTCTATAAGTGCAAAGTTTAGACTACGTAGTGGCGGACATCTTCATCTTGTTATGTTCTGTTTTATTTTCAATTTCAAGATAGAGGAAAAAGGCTTCACTCCGGAATATTGAATGTCGAGTTAGATTTTGGAGATCAAATTGATATACCGATGACGTATTCCCGCCTAAAAAGTGCAGCAATGCCATTGGACGAGTCAGTGTCAACATTTGAAGGCAACTTACTTCTTTAGCGGTCTTGGGAATCACCAGTATGTAGCAGCACTAGCGCTACTAGCGTTACTAAAACTTTGTAAGATAAAATTTATTCGGAATAAATGCAAGAATGGACGCTAGACTTCCTGCGATCATCCTCGATCTTCTTAATGAGTAGTTTTGCCGGTGCCAGCTTAATGATGGCACTTTCCGCATTTATTTTTAATAACAGCTATAAATAAAGTGCGAAGCTTAGACTGCGGGCGTCTTCCGAAAGTAAAAATACGCGTTTTCGCGCGCCGTCCTCGCGAATCTTCCCATAAAAAACCCGACAGAGAAGAACCGCGCCGAAGAGGAGTGATATCCCGGACCGGCGCCGTCGACGCCCGGGCCGCCGGAGCTGCGGCGGCCCGTCAGTATGATGCCGGGCAGATCCCGAGCCGCACACCACCGCTCCGACGACACCGCCGCCGCCGCCACCGGGGAGGGCCCCCCGCCGCCATGTAGCCGCCCAGCGTCGTATGGCGCTCGCCGCGAACAATGACTGACATTGCCGATCTGCGGCAGCCGTGGCGGAAGAAACAAAAGACGCGCGTCCGCCGCCGACCGAGTCCCTGCACGCCGCCGTGATCCCCGGTTCGACCGACCGTCTCGTCTCTCGTTTTAATAATTGTAATCAACCTCTGCACTCGATACGGGTATTTTCAGTCTAAATTAGCTTTAGGGCACGCATTTTTTCTGCTGCACGATCGCTTTAACTAGCTCTAAGGTACATGCTTATGCAGTGGTGACTTGTACGGTATATACAGGGTGAGTCACTTTTTTCCGCAAAACCCGAGTCGCGGCGGGAATTTTACGTTCACTCAGTATTAAGTATTTGAAAATATCGAAGAAGTTTAAGGTTGAAGACCGCAGGGGAAAAAGGAGGTTTGTCACGAAGTCACAGTTTCCAAAAATATTCATTTTTACAAAAACCACCGACTTTGTTGAAATTTTTTTATAAAGAAAATAATGTACACTGTCTGCAGATATTCTGGAAAACAAGCCGCGTATTGGAGGCAAAAAATATATCGTATTTATCTTTTTGCGCATTCCCCATTTCCCCCCCAGATGATAACATTGTTTTTACAGCAAAATATAGAATTTTGTCTATTATATACCTCCTTTTTCCCCCTATGGTCTTCGTTTCAACATTTTTTTCCCCATCATACAGGGTTTCCGTATTATATTCCAAATTTGATAAGATATACCAAATTTCCTCTCAATTATTAATTAGGAAATTGAAATGAAACATTTATTAGTAGAGACTATATTTTATCT